CCCCCCCCCCCCCCTTTCCTCCACTACCCTCCAAGTCCACAGTCCAGACGGACAGAACCTTGAGTTGGGCGGTAATGCTCCCTGTTCCCTAAAATTGGAGCGCAGGGCATGTTGCGGCATTAGCGCTTAACAGGCCGTGAAATAGCAGCCTGCCTTCCTGACGTCTCCCCCATCACTCCAGGTGAGTTGGCCAGACGGCTGGATAAATGAGCAAGCAGCACCCCCAGCAACCAGCATGCATTTGGGGCACTTGAGGAGAGATGTCCATCAGTGATTATCTCACCACACCCTGCTCTTACCAAGCTCAAGTTGTTCACCAGTTCCTAGCCATGGCCAAACTTCCGTGGGGATCTTTGTAACCACTCTAATGAGGATGTCCGGTGGCTTGTCTATTAATCAGAATCCTCAGTTAGACCAGGTTTTGATTGGCTCTATTCTCCCACAGAGTGATGTCATCTTAATTTAAGCTGTAGGTCTCATAGTGTGCATAGCTCTAGCATCCCCTGGCTTCTTGCTGTGAAATAGCAGAGACCTCAAACACATCTCCTTTGACAAACTTCAACTGATCTCCTTTCTGCTTCTTGTCAAGCTTTTACCCCAATGCTACCACCTCCTCTTATGTGATTAGCTGTTGATGTGGGCTCAACCCCCCCCCCCCCCCCTCTCCCCCCCCCCCCCCCCCAGACGCCACAGAGGAGAATTTAAATCTTGTTGTTTGACAGTTTTTTCTTCAGTCAGTGGCTCCTCCTCTGTGTCGGCCATGTTGGATGATCACTGGAGTGAAATGCTGCCGGTAACAGATGCTGCTGTATCATGCAGCAGCTGCAGCAGCTCCGTAGTAATAATTATATTTTTATGTAATCGTCCACATCACAGTGCCCCCCCCCCCCCCCCCCCCCCCCCCCCAGGTCCACACGGGTCTGAAGTGTGACTGAAACAACCATCAAACTACAAGCGGCAAATAAAACAGTGTCATGTCCCTTTAATGTGATTCATAAAACACAGACCATCATGACTCAGTTACTGTGATGTGCAATTCAGAAATCTAATATATATGTCCCATATATTATTATCACATATGAAGATATATGTTTATTACATATATGAAATACTGAAATGTGTATATGTACATATATTGAAAATATCTATGATGAATTTTTACAGACAGTAGAACGTGTTCTATGTAAAACTTATCTGTTAATATATATTTTACTTATTTATGCAAGTTTATTAAAACAACATATAAAAAGATCTATATGTTTATATGTTTTTCTGAATAATAGACTGGATAGATATGTATTTATGTAACATGTCTACAATGTAGGCATACATACATAAATGTATATATTTGTATAAGCTAGATATATATCAATATATGAAATTGTTCCAATTTCTAACAGGTTTCATATATAATTTTTACATATATGTACATACAGAATAAAAACATGTATTTCATAAATGGAAATTCAATATATGGACATATATTACATTTGCGTATGGGGTAGAAGCTTCATATAAAACATGTTCATAGAATATAATGTGTCGTGGTTCAATTTGTGCAAAAAAAAAAAGTCGAACAGATATTATTCCAGATTAAATCCAAAGATGCTTCAAGGATTTTTATTGGTTTTTTGAACATTAATGAGCAGAAATATTATATTTAGATTTTTAAACAAATTAAAGAAATCCAGAAGGATCTTCTCTCAGGCTTCTCTGGAGCTCTAGCAACAACAGGTCGGTGAGCCAATCAGAAGAGAGTAGGCTCTGAGCTTCTCTTCTGATTGGCTGACTGTTTT